TAGGTAATACGCAGATTTTGTAAAATAGCTGACAGACAAACGATGGCGCATCTCGAAAAACCGTGATGGCACTTAGCATTCGTCTACAAGAAAGAGCGGTTTCGCTGATTTGAGTTGACTTCATATCGCTCGAAAAGATTAGTCCTAATAGTGTAGGGTGGAAGTCAACGGAGAGAGCCGTGACTGCTATTTGCAACAGTAGAGGTTGTGTCGAAGAACTAGTAAAAGAGAAATACGTATATGAGCACTTATCGGCGTTTAATTCCATATTATTGTCGCTGCACCAACTACAGATTTTGTCTATTTCATTTTGAACTATTGAAATGAGGGTAGAATTGGAAGAACAACGAAGAGATAATCTGCGAAAAGACTGTATAAACACGCGGAAGTAAAAATGCCATTTATATCATTGATGAAATAAGAAATAGTAGGGACTCCTAGGATTGACCCTTGAGGTACGCCAGAAGAAACGCACACTACTTTGGAAAGAATATTATCGATTTTAACGCGCTGAGTTCGGTTGCTCAAGTACGATGAAAACCACTCTAAAAGGTTGTTCGTTAATCCTGTCTTTGCTAATTTGTCAAGTAGAGCACTGTGATCCACCTTATCAAAAGTTTGCTCATATCAAAACTTAATCCAATACAGGGGCCTTTTTTGTTTAAAGTGTCGTAAATAAAATGCGAAACGCTTATTAGAGCATCGATGGTTGAACCTTTGGGTCTAAAACTGAACTGCTCCTTGCACAGAAGGTCCTTTGATAAAAGAAACGATAGACGATTTTTTTGGACAGCTTTTTCGAATATTTTACTTTCATACATAATAATGAAATGGTTCGGTAGTTAGGAATAGAAGAAAGTTCCCCTTTTTTATGTATGGGTCGGATAGTTGCGAGTTTCCACTTATCTGGAAAAATTCCGGAATCAATACATACTCAAAAAAAATTCTCAAAAGATGTTTAGGAATGATAGGCTTGCAAGTTTTCAAAACTTTTAGCGAAAGAATTTAGAATGAAAATGATAAAAGATATGATGGTAAAAACGGAAGCATTCAACGATGGGGCAGCTCGATACGATGCTAAAGTCGTTGAATTATAATTTGAAATATAATTATAAGAAGCAAATTTAAAAAATGATAATGAATTTTATACATTTTTAAATCAGTTGCTGCTAATTTATCAGAATAATCTTCTTTTTGTTTACTAAAAAGATGTCAAAACACAATCTTGCATAATAAAACAAAATATAGAATAATTGAAGCTGGTCTTCAAAGAGTGAAACTGTTTAGAAAGGTCGCAGACACTTTTCTCAATTTGCTCTTTGTTACGTCTTAGATCTCAAAAAACTTTCATTCAAAATTGTACAGATGTGAACAGGGAAGGTTCATCAAGGCCTTTTCACTTCATACACTCGAACGGTTGTATAAGAAAGAAGACCAAAAAGTGTCAAAAAAATGCCTACTAGTTGTTTATTGTTCAACGAATCATTGAAAAGCAGAAAGCCACCGAGTAAAGTGAGAACAGTTTTCATATAACTTATGATATTATATGTGAGTACAGACGTGTGTCTTACTAACCAGTAAGCCGATAAAATATTGGAAAATGCAATAGAACCAGAAATGGCAATGATAACTATAAGTTGATGGTGTTGTTGAAATGTCAAATAACTTGGTATTTTTTCATTTAACAGAACGAACGGAATGAGCACGATGGCTGATACTGGCGCTTGATAAAATAATAACTGCTGCGAGTTCAGTTCTAATTCACGTTGTCTCTCACCTATCCATATTTGAAACATGGAACCGGACAGAACTCCGATCGAGGCTGTTAAAACACCAATTCCATTAAGTGTCATGTCACTGAGAGAGTGTATACAAACCCCTATAATAACTGGTACTAATGTCAACAGTATAATTCGAGAATACTTTTGATTATAATAATACCAAGTTAAAATTGCAACGGTGGGTGTTGTTAGAACTTTAAATAATTGATGAGTACCAACTGTATTGTATTGTAATGAAAAATTTGTAAAAACATTTGCAGTACTATACGAGATAGCTATAGGTAGGATTTTGATGATCGATACAGATTTCAGCGTAAAATTTCGCAACATGAGACTAACGATTAAACCGACTGCAGTGGAAAAGCAATGAATATCTGTGAGAGTTACGGATTTTATTTGGCACATTGAGAAGATGTATTTGTTCAGAAATATAAGTCCAACTGATGACAGAACATTGATTGTATATCCTGTCGTGATTTTCAATAGGTCCATATCATAGTTGCATTTGTGTTCACTAATTCTGGTAGTAAGAGATATCTTTCAAGTGTTTTCATTTGATCTTTAGTTCATATGTCAGCCATCAGGATTATTAGAACTGAATGATATTTTCATCTTAACAACTTTACTATCTGAAGATACAAAATATAATTGCCAGTTAAAATATTCGATAAATTTTGCGTATATATTCCCTCTTAGCAAAAGGCGTACTTTCGGATACTGAAAATATTTCATAAAATTTCTGGGTTTTTAAAAATTGTAGTTGTAAAACCGCAAGAATTTCTGAAAAAATGTAAGAGTACCGGTGGCATTCTGCTAAACCCTCTCAGTTTCTTGAACTCACTCTTGAAACCATGACGATTTATGAAAAATAATAAACCCTCATACAAGTTTTGAGAAATAGCCGTTCCGTTTCTGAAAATATATTTTGGTTTTTAACAACATGCTAGATATTGTCATAGTACAACGAAGAGTGCCCCACAAATACAGTGATAATCTTCTACCTCAACTTTCCACCCTTGTTGCTATGACATGATTCATTGTAGTAGATCTGAGAAAAATGAGTTTATGGGTAGGACATTTGTTTTTTACTCTGTTTTATGCAACATATCAAGCGTCACAAGCACAAGCAAAGGTTAAGAAATGGTTAACAAATTTTGATATCGTGGTTTGACAGGCAAAAGAAATGTACATACAACTACGAGAATTCTTTTGGGTTGTCGCTGCAAAAAAGAGTTTCTGACTGTTGATAAAGCAGATATTTTCAGAAATCCAAAACGCATTCTTAAATTTCATATCCAGAGTTTGATGATCGTGCGAACCACTCGCTAGCAATTGTTTTTAGTCAACACTTTTCTCAGCAAAACAAACCATTTAGAAGTACTGAGCTCTGAATTTGATATGATGAACTATCTTTTTTAAGAAGTGGGTTGGAATAGTCGAAACTGGTAAATATTTTACTGTGGAAAACCCGTTATTAGAGACCTGCAACTGGTCGGTTTGGGTTGAACATTTTGCGACGCAATATACAATATACATAATAATTTCGATTTTATATTACTCGCTGAAAAGTTACCTGTACTGGAATTTTCAGTTTCACTAATGAGGCAAGGTCTTCAGATGTCCAACTCCGTTTTTAACGATATTATGTCAGTTAATAGAGGAGAGTGAGCTGATAAAAATCCTTAAAGGAGAACCCATATCAGTTTTCTCAAAAGTTATGAGTTTTTTTGTTCTAACAGTGCGTGTAGTCTGCTAATATTACAGAAAATTTGAGCGTTATATCTTTCTAAATTCACTTGTTATTTAACTTTTTTTCTTGTGGGAAAACAATATTTTCCAAACCGCACAATTTTCAATGATAACATTTCTTTTTTATTAGAGATGATATTGCGTGCATTTTTTCCTGCTGAAAACATTCTGGTACGGGAATAAAACAAAGAAGATAATTAGTTTCGTCATGTGCATGCTTTCCCATTTGTGAGACAAAGGGAAACTAGAGAATTCTAGCGGGAAGATTAGAGAGTCGACTTTTTTCAGAAAGATAATGTAGTTCTACGGGATATTATTCATATTATCATATCAGCTGGTTCATTCGCCTATCAAACCTTCTGCTTTAGTTTTCAGCCCATCAAGCATTACAGTATATGTTCATTATGCAGAATACCACGTGATGATCAATTATCGCAAAGGAAAAACGATAGAGTTTTTAGGCTGTTCTTTTGTTTTAGGAAAATACTAATCTCATTTAAGAAGCAAAGTTCAATAACAAGCGAATTTAGAAAGATATAACAAATTTTCAAATTTTTTTCAAATTTTCTGTAATATTAGCAGACCATTGGCAAAAGGTTACTCACCTGTAATACGATGCCCTCCATTAAACAAATAGGTAAATAAAAAGATATATACTTAAGAATAAAACAAAAGAGTAAAAGTTATCGGGTCGAGATCGAGTTACGTTTTCTTAACCCATGCAGGTCTCTACCCGTTATATCTCATTCAGTAGA